TGCGGCTATAAAACCACCCAAACAAAAATGTTTCGCCGCGATCTATCAAAAACATTATTCCCAGCCCAATGTAAATTCCTACCGTTTCACCGCTTATGGAGTTGCATTTTCTTTCATACAGCGTTACGCAACACTTAACGAAACACGCCGAGGCTCAAATATCCACTTCATTAGCGTTAATTTGAAATGTACGTAAAAAGCGATTTTTCAATAAATTAGATTTTACATTGAATCAATTAACAATATTTCAGTGGAAAGCCAATTAAAAAATAACTGCGCGTATACAAATGATAATATATGAACAAATTCGTAGCATCCTTCAGGTAGTAACTTAACATATTACAAAGTTCTATTAAAACAGTTATTTAATCGCATTTACGTATTCAAAACGAGTTCAATAATTTATCAACAAATAACCGAAAATCAAGGTTAAGACAATTTAATGTCTTGGCTCTTAAGCGCGTAGCCACGAATTGTATATAATAAATAATGTATATGATCCCTGTGTCTAATGTATTCAAGGCAGACAATTCAGCACACCGTTTCCTAATATGTGATTTATTTGGTGACAAGTTTATTCCTATCGAACATAATTTTTGGCTTTTAATTGCATCGTTTATACTTTGTAGGAACCTCCTTCAATTTGATGTAGTTTACTCCACACGTGTACCTAACAACCAACGTTATTTAGATCAACGAGTTGATTTCATCTAAAAAATTGATGTTTTTTTTTCAAGTCCAAGTCGAAAATCTAGGTTTTGACTACTTTACAGCAAAACATCTGCTTACATACCAAGGGACGAAAGTGCATCTGTTATTCTCGAGGGTGACAATAAACAAGGAAATGTCGATCGTTTGTGAGCACTCTTCTCCGACACACCGTTTACGAGATCACTTCAGGTCACAACCTTGTGAACTCAAAAGGGCGCGCTCTGCCAATCTGCAACAGACAATAACACAAACAAACAAACAAGAGGGGTTAGTGAATAGCGCGGCACATAAAATATTGCGAAAGCAATTCTAACGTCTGACACTAGGCAATCGGATATTAAACCGTAAATAAACTCAATAAGAATCAACAATTTAATTCATGTTAACTAACCAAAAGCAACATTTTGACTCCACCACGTATTGCTCGTACAATAGGGTATAAAAGAATAAACGCGACGTTAAATTCAACAAATACATTTCAATACAACAGCAATGTAATCTAATTAATTCAAAACTGTAAATAAGGTAGTATGAGTAAAACAAGGAACGCAAAGCAACTAGAAATTGTACATATCGGCTTTGCAGTAACTTCAAAAACTAATTTCCACATGAAACGTAGTGAAGCTAGTACAATTGAATCGTCGAAGGCACACAAGTAATCGTAGGTAGTATATAGATCAAATTCGGTCTCGATAAGTATATTCTTCAGTACCGCAAGGAAAATCAGTTATGTCGGAGCAATTTACAAGCTCGATAATATTCAAATGTTTCGCAATCCTTGCGGCTAGGAACTATATTGTAATCTCCAGGTATAAACTTGGTAGTAGAATGAAGTAGATTCACCAGGTTAATGTAGGTAGAATGAAGTAGAATTTCCCAAGCCGGTAATATAGAAATTCATCTGTAGCGTGACGTTCGGAAATATCAATCCTAATAAGATGGCGGGTCTAGGTAAAAATGCGATGTAACTTGAGGCTGAGGGAAGATAAAGCCCTCGCACTGATTATTTGCACCTATTGCTCTTCATTGGAACATAGGCACAGACATCAGAAAGAAAGAGAAATCACTCCAAAGATTGACAGCTAAAACCAAAAGCCCTTATACCGGTAGACAAAACTCAGTAAAAAAGTAATGGCGTACCGAAGAAAAATAATTTGGGTGCAACTACTCGTATGACCTCTAACGGCGAAACAAAGAATTAGGTAAAATAACTCTACTACAAGATTAATTTACATTTAAACTAGTGGATTACAAAGGAAATGGCGAGATGGCGTAAGAATCTAAATATAAACGAGAGTAAGAAGCAAAAAGTTACTAAAATGGAATTTAAACCAGGAATTTCGGTAAGAAAATAAAATGTCCTAATGCAAAACATATTCCAGTATTATAACACTATTCTCCTAAAAGCAAAAGTGGTTCAAAATGTTACAAAAACTGCGCCAAAAATAGCACAAAGTTAAAACTCGAATGTTCGAGAGATATAGCTTCGTCTCATGCCCTATCGAGTTCTCGATGCGACGAAACCAAGCATGAGTGTCAACGAAGCTCTCGTTTTGTCTTGAAGTTTATTGATATCTATTTGTGCTGCATATTTCATTGAGAATAAGAGGAAGTATTGATATAGATCTGACCACTACATTGCTGCGTAACTCACCTGGATGCCCAGAATCTCCCATACAAAAAAAGAAAAATATGCAAATGTCACTTAGAATTTTAAAGCTACTGCTTATTCAAACAAATGTAACGATCACCCCGTTATTTGTCACTGAAAATTACTTCAAATTGTAAAAACAATCATTTCTTCATATATTTTTAATCTACTAAATGTCGACCGCTTGCCCAAACTAACGTGAAACCCAAAATTTACTGGATTTGTAAACACACGTATCAAATTTTGTTTAACAATTTCAATAACAATAACCCTTAACTTTCCAAAATTGGAGAGTTAATTAGTATTACACGTTAATTTTGAAACTCTAAAAATATAAATAACTCGAAAACCTTAAGAACGCAATATTTGTGTGTTATGGCAAAAAAATTGGCACGAATAAATGAGGACCAAATAATGTCAATTCAGAAATTGGCTATTCCGATCTTTCACAGACTCCCCTGCATCTACGTATAGGTACTCGTCATAGGGGCCGACGATCATTTTCCACAGTGCCCAGAAAGTTAAAAGAGCGAGGGTTGGATTCAATGTTTTAGCAGTATAATAATCACGGCCATGAATCTAACTTTAATGTTGTTGTGAATTGTCGGATTTCACGGTAACAAAAATATATCCACCAGAACACTCTGTATAATTAAACATTTCGATCACCCATAGACTGTATAAAAAAAGTAATAACTCTAACAATTTTACCGTCACTTTGAATGATTGTAATGCATATTACGTATCACAAAATTAAGATTTCTATTCCATAATACGTCAGATTAATTTTATAGATATTTCGTGAAGCTTATAATTGGATAGATTTGATTAAGGTCGTGTGCATAGTAATGGAATTGAGAATAATCTCAATTGACATTTTAAAATAGATTAAAATTAATACCGGCTCGTGCAAATATCTTAAGTTTACTATAGTAGGTTACTTCAATTACATTTTCGAATTGTTCCAAACATTTAATAGCGTTTGCGTAATCGAACGCAATTATGAGACGAAGGCACATCCTTTTTTTGACGTTCCGGAGCTCGAAGCTAAAAATTTATGGCGTATACAAGGCGTTTAATAAAATGATACCCAAAATATCTAACCATCCTCAACACGTGCCGCCCATATTTCTTATGCGGAGCGGGCTACAACGGGTGCGCTCTATAGAACGGTTGATCTTTACGATAAGCCACTTTAGACGAGAAAATGTGACATTATATGACGTACAATGTGTAAATCTTGCAGCTACTCTAATATGTGTTGTGACTTTTTTACCGAGATCCAGTTTATTCTCTCCGAAGAGATTTAGGAATTTACGAAACGTACCCGTGTGCAATTCAAAATGCGTTTTAGGCATATACCCGTTGCGTTGTACCGTATCGATTCACTAAAGTTCCATCGCCGCATTTCACATAGAAGGTACAGTTCGCTCGAACGATATCACAAGCAGTAACAATTATTTCCTAATGAGGTTAGTTTTAAAATAGGCTATAGTTAATTGTGTATAGCACTCTATTTCTAATATGGTGTCTTTCAAGGTTCTAATATGGAATCTCTACATAAATTTTCTTTACGCTTTGGTCTTATGTGGACGTACGAATGCTAGCGTTCTGGGCCCCATTCCCCTACAAAATTCAGGAACTCTATAAATGAGAAAAAACTCTACTCATCAGCCTCCTTTTGCGGTTTTTTAAACTTTTAATCGGTAATTCCAAAATTAAAATGCTTCCATTGAAAAATCAACCCAAAAAATTACGTTACTTCACCTAAATGCTACTAAACCGTTCCAAAGATACCTACAATTTATTTTATTTCATACGAAGGAACAAGGAAAGAAATTATTGAACGAGGCGCTAAATCAGAATCATTGTTTTTGTTTATTCGTGGTATCAAAAAAAGGGTAAACGAATTGTTATCAAATTTTCAATAACACGATAAAAAATTTCCCATTTCGTGCATTATGGAAATATCAGATTCTTTTGCATGCGCTACTTTCACATTTAGAGCTATTAAAGTAAAATTGAGATACGATCGGTCTAATACACAAACACGGTCAGTAAATGTGCATGGATCGCATATAACTTCTTTCTGTAAGTTGGTATTCCTTTATGCAGTACAAAATGTACCTATTACTAAGCATGTGTTGATACGATCTTCATTAGAAATAAACATAATATAAAAAGGTCAAAATTTAGCGCATAAGGTTGCATCTTATTATGAGCTAATTATCAACATTTTTATGCGAAAAAGTTTCCTCGTTAAATAGAAATTACTGGTAGAATTCGTTCTGCATACACTTCTTCGGAAAATGCTTTGATTTACTGCACTTTTGTCACGATTGACAATAAGTTCACAAGTGTGTTGCTTAGCACAGAGCGAATGTAAACGAATTTCCATCTGAAAACCAAGAAAATACGATCTCCATTAGTGAGTACCTAATTAGTCTCAATGTTATTGTTTCAATTTACTATATACGCCTGATTCAGGATCTCATTAGAAGATCGTTTAGCTTGTAGAAAAGCTAATGAGAAAACTAGATCGACAAGGAGATCCAACGAGTATGAATGATTGTGTGTCCCGTCGTATATTAAAGGCAGTAGGTCAGGTCAGGTTCAAGGTAACTTTTTATTGTTTTAGACTGCAGCAGGGGCGGGCGGTCTAGAGGGTCCCCCAGGGGGTCAAGGTGTCCGCCTTAAGCACAAACCACGTAAATTTGCCGCCTCGGGCAGCCTCAGTGATAGCTCCTCCAGTGTTAAACGACAGGTGAGTTGCCGCTACTTTGTGATGAGTGACTTTGCGTTTTAGTTGTGTGTTTTATATGGACGTATATATTGCTTCTGCTTCTTAGTTGTTATTAATTGACTTTCACTTACAAATGGAAAAGTATCAAATTTGACAGAAATAATGGTAAAGCGAAAGTGGGCGGTCATTATTAATCAATGTTATGAACTATTTCCGTAGTATACGTATTATGGCGTTCCTTTTTCTTCTATGGATTCTTAATGTCGTCCAGTTGCGCTACACCTAGATACTAAAATACAAATGAATTAAATAATAAACAAAAGCGAAAAGGGAGTCGGGCGTTTGTAGGGGATGTTACGTTATAATACGTAGGGATACGAGTACAACTCGCCGTGCGTAAAATGGCGGCGTTTTTCGGACTCGTCCTCATAAGTTATGGTACCAAATATTCCTCTGAATATCCCAAATTCTATCTATCTTAATCAGTATTTGCTAACCAGAGCAGACACAAACGTTAACGACATACAGGATACAGGGGAAAATCTGGTACTACAGGTGTGATATGGCAGATCGACCCGAGTAAGCGTAATTTTGGTACCACAGATTAGTATACGCTATGACTTTGGCTTATCACAAATGGAAAATTGATTTTGCTAATTACTTTAGACGTCAATATTGGGACCTTACATAGTAAAACTGCCCAACCTGAACAGCTAGCCAAAGTGATATATACAGCTGCACTTTGTAGCGCATTTTTGAAAAAAAATACGCTATTATATTTGTTATGGCTGGCTGGCCGGCTGTCCGGGTGAGATCTCAGCAACTACAATAGCTAGAGACTTCAAATTTTCATTAAACGCTTTCTGCTATAGTATAGATTTTGAGTTAGATTACTTGTAAGATCGATAATTTAAGAAAATAATTTCGATATGGTTTTCGGAGGTGCTATAATTTTACCGTTAGATAGCGCTACCAGTATAAAAACTTAAATATTTACTTTTTTATTTGTTTTACAAAATGAAGACGTACCCTCAATTGAAATTAAATAACATTAATTATTTAACGCAGCCAAAATTACTCGTGAGATCGATAATACTGATCTGTATTACCAAAAATGCGCTTTAAACATGCATATTATGATTTACAACTTGTTCAAAATAAACAGTGCATTATTATAAAAGGTATTGGCTGCTTTTGTTATAAAATGTTATAAAACTCCCATGGAGGTAAGACTTTGCCAGCGAGCATGAATGCAGATTTGGATCAACTCAACGTCAAAATGTAAGTGTTTAACTGACATGACGTAAATGTAATGATTTTACAGTGAATTTTTGTTAACCGATTTCGGTGTAGATTACGAGGGTTTCAATTAAATGAAATAAAAAAAGTCCATACAGATGGAATATTTAATTACTTCTCGCGACCAAAATTTCATTAATTAATCACGGGATTAGTTGATGAAATTTTAGTCGCGGTAAATAATTAAATATTGGGGACAATTGATTTATAACAGTTAAATATTATTTATCACTCCTTGTGTTAAAATTTATATGTAATTTCTGTACGAGAGCAAATTTGACTATTTATCACTTCGGCATCGATGTTACGTATACGTCTTTTTTTTACCTTTAAATAAATTTAATTATTTGCTAACAATTTGCTAGCGCTTATTAGTCCAGTAAAATAGGGACAGGACTTCGACCTGGGGCATTGTTTAAACAGCTTTCTTTACACAATGCCTGGGGAAAGCTGGAAATCGTTTTAAAACTTTAAGGTAGTCTTGAAAACGAGTAATTTTAGTTTGTGTCCCATAGGGGTTGAGCATAACTTGGTATCCCTAAAACTTTGAAATTTTCGGATATTCGGAAGAGAATGACAACGAGTGCCAATTTACCATCTTACAGATTCTGGAAGACTTCAAAGAGCTACGGCCACCCTTAAAGTCAGACTGGAGAAACAGTATGGAGATGGGATCATTTTTACGTCTGTTAAAGGAAAGAGCTCAGTGTCCTGCTTTCGAAGCAAATGAGAAAAGATCTTGAGTGTCAGTTGGTACAACAACTTGAAAAAGTAACAAAACAGAAGAGCATCTTTGCATTGTTAAATCAGCTGCAGAGATCATGCTAAAACTGTTGAATTTGGCATCTAAGTATGCTTAAAATTGGTCTTAATTTAAAACTTTGGCGTTCTTTGAATTCGCCATTAAATTCTCTACAACTTTGATTACAAGAATGTATTGATACGATCAGCACTATCGGATGGTACAGACGACAGAAAGTCATCAAATGGTACAGTTTAGCGAATAATGGCCGTCCTTCAGTCGTCGAATTGGTCCTGTTTTAAAGTCAATCGACACACAATTGAATGCTCTTTAATTGGTCTCGGTTTTCGATAGGATGCGTTGTTTAGGAGTTATTAGCGAAAAACTGAAGAAAGTCCGAAAATTTTAAATTTTTTGGGGCACCAGTTATGCTCAACTCCTGGAAGAGTATAAACTCATATTACTCGTTTTCAAGACTATCTTAAGGTTTTAGAATGATTTACAGCTTTCCCCAGGTCCCTTTGAGCCCCCCCCCCCCTCCTTCAGGTTTAATTTTACAAGACTATAGACGTAGTTTTTCTAAGTTTAAGTTCAAACGCGCATTCTGAAGAATCCTTCTCTCCCACCCAATTTTTAATTATGTACTCGTCGAAACTGCTTGCACACTCGTTCCATATTGGAAAGCTACTCATTCTCTCGCATTAAGCTCTTATAAAATTTTCCACACCCGAAATTTTGTAAACATTTTCTTCTTGCATAATGAGACAAATAGGGGTGGCGTAAGTAATCTGTATGTATGCTGTAAAATTAAAAATCTCCCACCTCGAAGTTGTGCATATTTGAGCCATTTTTCCTTTATGATACAAATGTTGTGCTTCTTGTGGTGTACGAATTACTCAACCCATTTCCACGAGAGATTTTCTGACATCGTCAACGAACAACTGAAAGATAGTAGTGGTAGTAGTAGAAAGTACAAATACGACTTCACTAATTATAAGTGAACGTTTACTAAATCTGATTGGCCTAAACGGTCTCTTTCACAATTGTTGCGTTCTGTTTTACGAATCTCTAAACTACAATAACAATCCAAGTCACTCTTACTACTTACTTGCTTAACCAGGAAAATATCGTCCACTATTTCCCAGTAACGCCAGATTTATCCCAACAAATATTTTTGAAGTGAGCCACATGCTTCTTAAAACGAAGTTTCAATGACTTTTTCGTTCCTGGAGAATGGGAAGAATTTAAAAAGGGAGTACGCTCCAACTGAAGAAATCGCAGCAGACGCTTTTACCAAAGGACTCCCCCGATCAATGCATTAGCACAGTCTGGTAGTGAAATTATCCAAGGTTCACATCTCGAGGGGACGTGTTGGGGAGAGAACGCGAGATGATGGTGGATGTGGATTGAGGTTCTGTGGTCTGAAGTTTATGTTTTGTCTGATTTGAGAGTTGCATGTAGCACGTGTAGTAAATAAACAATTTATTTGTGTTTTCTTTAAATCTTTGTTTTGTTACTATCTGAAGATTACTTCAGCATCAATAGCATACTTCAAAAAAGTATAGATACCATTTGTAGTATATACAGTGATATTTATTATGAAGCGTGTACGTGTATAATTTTTCCCTATGCCTACTTTTAAATCACAAAATCTCTTCTGAAGGGCGCATAATTTTATACAACCAAAATAACTCCTTAAAGCAAATAAACATCTGGCTGTCATATTAATTACATAATTTGGATACTGTTGTTCTAGCTTCCGTATTTTTATGGTCGTCCGTGTGCGACGTATTCAACTGAAGAAACAGTTGATATTGTCAATTAGTATAATGCAGGTAACAATTTTATTTTTTGTGAAGCCAAAGCAACAATATTCAAATTAATTAATATGACAGGCAGATACTTATTTCTTTTAAATAGTTATTATGGATACATAAAATTAGGCGCTATTCAGAAGATATTTGTTCATTGAAAAGTAGACATATGGAAACACAATACACGCAAATCCCTATGTCTACTTCTTAATAAATATCACTGTATAATAGAAAAATGCTGTTCAAAGCTGGGTTGTAATGGGGACTTAACTTCTTTCTTTGAACTGTAAAGACGTATTTATACTATTTTTTCCAATACCACATCTAAGGTGGATTAAATTAGCATCCTTAAATCGGCACCCTAATTTGTTACATCGCTAAACTATTGTGTTCATTTGTGCGCCAGTCCACAAATTTTGTTCACCTCTCGTTTAAATTTTCCATTGGGGGTCGAACTGGAACACCACCTATCATCTCGTATCCACATGACCCTAATGCCATAGTTTTGTACTCGTTTTGTACTGATTTGTGTCAAATACTCAGGTTTTATGTGGACCAAAACTCAGGTGTTGTGCGTCTTTACTTTCGGAGTAATTAAAAATATCTAAACGGGGTGCCAACTTAACGTAGCATCCATTACAATCGGAGCGACTTGAAACCTATGTAATAGCTTTGTGCACCTTTCGTTTTAGAGAAATTTAAAATTTCTACAAAGGGGAAAAGCTTAACGCAGCACCTCTCATAATCGGAATGACTTGAAACCTAAGCTATAGTTTTGTGTCATCACTCATCAAATCATAAATGATCTTATAGTTGTGTCTTAATTAATACGATTTATTACATTTTCTGCTATTAATAATATGGGCTCGATTTTATGCTTCATGTCGAAGTGGCACAATCTATCGCAAAAACGCTGAACTTCTCACCACAACTGGAATTGTTGAAATTATTCCGCCGGATTGGCGCAAAAATCAGTACAAAATAGGCACACAACCATGACATTGGTTTCAAGTCGATCGGATTGTAAGGGGTGCTACGTTAAGTTATCTCCATTTGTACAAATATTACATTTCCCCAAACTGAAAGGCGCACAAAACCGTGGTATTGGCGCACAAATCAGTGCAAAATAAGCACAAAACTATGGTAGGTATTATATTAGTGTCATG